TCCCCCATATAGTAATTCATCCCCCATATAGTAATTCATCCCCCATAGTAATTCATCCCCCATAGTAATTCATCCCCCATATAGTAATTCATCCCCCATAGTAATTCATCCCCCATAGTAATTCATCCCCCATAGTAACTCATCCCCCATATAGTAATTCATCCCCCATATAGTAATTTATCCCCATATAGTAATTCATCCCCCATAGTAATTTATCCCCCATAGTAATTCATCCCCCATATAGTAATTCATCCCCCATATAGTAATTCATCCCCCATATAGTAATTCATCCCCCATATAGTAATTCATCCCCCATATAGTAATTCATCCCCCCTATATAGTAATCATCCCCCCATAGTAATTCATCCCCCCTATAGTAATTAATCCCCCATATTAATTCATCCCTCATATAGTAGTAGTAAGTAGCAAGTAGTAAGCCAAGTCCCCCCTGTGTCAATTCACTTACCTTTGCTCCGCGCGTTCCTCTCGCCGTGTTTCCCGCGCCGTTCCGGTCTTCAGGGCGGACTGTGAGAGGAGCCTAGCTCCTCTCACGTTCGTCACGCTGCCCCGCCTACACACATCCTGACAGCCAATCACTGGCTATCAGGATGTGAGTGGCAGCGAGACTGGCCAATCATTGCATTTGAGCGCGCTGCCCTGGCTGTTTTTTTTTTGGATCATGCTGCAGAGTCCCTGCCGCCCGAGAGGAGGGAGGGGAGCGGGCGCCCGGCACACAAGAGCCGCATTAAAGCGTGTAAAGAGCCGCATGTGGCTCGCGAGCCGCGGCTTGCCGACCACTGGACTAGGGGGACAAATTTGAAAAAAATGGTAACATCCATTGCTGCCAGACACTTTGTATATTCTGGGAAAATAAAACAATAAATTGGATTGGCCACTGTGGGCCAAGTTTTTCCCTTTGTAGGATTTTATTTCTCCAGTTTGTAGTAATAAAGACTCAATAACACTTATGATTTTGGAAAACATCCCAATTAGCATGTAACCCTGCTTCCAGGAATCCAGAGTCATATAAAAGTATTGAGATTTGTTTACTGAGGGTCAGTTCACACTGTGTGCATTTCAGTTGCTTTTTTTTCTACATCCAAAATGCACAGAAAGTAGGTTATATGGTTGTAAATGTCATAGTTCACATCAGTGCTTGCAGTTCCAGTGCGTTTTGGTTGCAGAAAAAAAAAAGCAGAACAGGCTGCATTTTTTTCTGCACAGAACTGTACTGGAACATGGTAAAACGCATCATAAATGCACCAAAAATGCACTGGAACACACGTCCCTATTTAAATTGAAGAAAAAGAGAAGGGAAAAAATGAACTGGAATGCATAAAAAACGCACTGGAACGCGCCATAAACACTTCAAAAATGCGCATGCAGAAACAAATCCGGAACACATCTGGACTGCGTTTCTATAGTATGAACCGGCCCTTAAGGCATACAGACTGCTGAATTATTAGGCTGTTGTTCACTAAGCTTATTAATTAGGGTAATGGTGTTCATTAAATCAGTCAGTTGTGCCAGAAAAAGCCTGATCATTTTTATTCTCTTGCACATAATCTTGAACTTGAACACAGATTCACTTAATTTTTTAGCTTTTACTTGGCTGTGAACAGACATTTTGCATTGTAAACATGCACTAAGTCTTACAGTGGTTGTAAAAGTGACTTTAACTGCATGAAGGTAAAAAACCATCTGCATTCAGCTCCCCCCTCCCTCCAGCCCCCTTAAATACTTACCTGAACCTGATCTTGATCAAGCAATGTGCACAAGAGCAGTCGCTCTCTCAGCTCTTTCCCTCCTCATTGGCTTAGAGACAGCAGCAGGAGCCATTGCCTTCTACTGCTGTCAATTACAGCCAGCGAGGAGGGGAATAGAGGGCGGGGCCAAGGTGCGCTCTGTGTGTCTTATGGACACACAGAGCCAGCTCAGGAGTGAGCACGCACAAGTTCCCCCATAGCAAGTGGCTTGCTACGGGAACACTTAGCAGGGAAGAGGAGCCAGGTGGGGGACCCAAGAAGAGGATTGGGGTTGCTCTGTGCAAAACCATTGTATGATGTGTTTCTACATTGTCAAAGAAGTAGCTTATTTGAGTAGTATATGAAAGAGGATAAATAAAATGGTATCCTAGGGGAAAAAAAACAACAATTTTGCCCAATAGACATTGCCTCAGCCAAGTATATGTCTTCCAATTAGGGCTTAGATCAGCTTTAAGTATATCTGTGTGCAAGAATGACCAGTTAATATGAAGGAGTAGTGTTGTTAACTGCTGCACTGCCCAGTTATACAGGTGATACAAATATTGAGCTGGGCATGGTCACACAGCTTTTTTGTATTTTCAGTAGAAAGCACATGTATAATTTGAAGAAAACTTTGAAGTCTTAAATTCTAGAATATTTGAAGAGTATATGTAATATCATAGTTTCACAGATTTATTTATTTGTGGGCCTGTTTTAGGGCTTGTATGCATGGGCTTTGGGTGTGAGGCGATGGTATCAGTTTGAGACACTTCTGAGTTCATTCAGTATTCATTCACAGGTGCATTTCACCTGCTTCAGTCAGGTTTTGCATTCCCATGGACTTGCATGAGGATGCAAAACCTGCCTAAAACAAACAAAAGTCTGCCAACACAGACCCCTAGGCTGGCTGTTGTAGGAAAGGTGGGTTCCATTCACATTTCCCGCACTGCAGATGAATGTGCTGCCCTTGAGATCTGCATGTGGATGCCAATTACTTGTTAATGGCAGCCCTAGTGCAGCTAGTGCAGCTTTAGATCTGAATACGCAGAGTTCCCCTTTAGATCTGAGTTCCCCTTTGCATCTCAATCCGTAGAGTTCTTTTACACTGTAAAGGGGGACTCTGCAGACATTGAAAATGCTGATGTAAGAAGGGGACTCTGATGTAAGGTGGGAAACTGCAGACTCTGGTGTAAAGGGGAACTCTGATGTAAGGGGGTCTTTGGGAACCAGAGTCCCCACTCATATCATAGTTCCCAGCATTCTCATTTAATCAGGAATTCTCAGAGCCCCCTAACATCATGGTGTTAGAAGGAACACTGTGGACTATGGTAACCAAAGCCCCCCACATCAAAGTGCACAGAGCATGCCATACACCGGAGTTCCCGTTACATCACAGTACACACTGTGAGGCAGGAGAGAGAATGATGGAAAGGGGAGACTTCAGTCACAGAAAAGGGATGGATTATGAGCTTATTCACCCCAGAATGGAGGCTCAGACATCCCATCTTTCATCCAGGATGTAGTTGCCTGCTGCTGGGCTTCAAATTTCCCACCCACTCATCCCCTTTCTGAGGCACAGCACTGCCAAGCATTGAAGTGTGAGCAGGCACACAGGAGGAGGAGAGGGGCAGGAGGAGGAGGAGGAGGAGGGGAGCAGATTCAGCTCTCTCTTCTCCCCAGTGTAGAGGGGTGGGGAGGGGTGGGGGGACTGTGTTGGCTCTGGGCAATGTGAGAGAGAGTGTCACAGACGCTTTTGGATTTTAACTGCCATCAGCAACCCTACTGGGGAGCCATAGTCCAGACTGAATACTGTGAGCAGTCTGAAACCCGGGCACATGATTCAGACTGTCCAGGTGAATCCCAGACAGGTGGCAACCCTAAATACAGTGCATTTATGGCCACCAAATCGTATAGTACCGCAGTACCATGTGGTTTGATGTAGTGCATTCTGCTTACACTACTTTTTTTTCATATTCCAGTGTGTTTTCAAATGAATGAGCTGGTAAAATTGAACTGCACTGCAACACACATGAATGCACACGTGTTTGTTTTTGTTACTTAGCCCCACTATATAAAATATAGTATCTCAAAAAAAGTTAGCATTTAAAATGTGACACCTAATTAAAATGTGTTATATTGATATAATTTGATACCCTGTACAACACCTCCAACATACCCCCCCCCCCCCCCCCACCGAATTTTTAAGGAATTCCCTTAACAATGGTAGAACAATATAATAATGTCATTTAAAGCACTGGTTTTCAGATATAGAGTTGCAGCGCCATCTAGTGGATAAATGCACTAAGTATGTTCAAAGTAAAATAATAGTAAAATTAATGATAAAAAAGAAGAAAAGTGCAACAAATCTTCCCCGTATGCCAACAAAATGTTAAATTATGAGGACTTAATTGCACAACACAACATTAACGGTCCTAACAGTTTATGATGCAATTTCACAGGGTCTTGAATTTTTATTAGCACTTTAAAGCCTTTTTAGATGCAAATCCATATTATGGGAAAATCACTGAACATGTCTCCAGCTTTGCACACATCATATTAAAATGGATGCCTGCATATATGGATAGGATGCCTGCAGTGGGGATGGATGCTGCACTGTCCCTCCTGGGTGCCGAAAAGCTGGGAGGGACGCACTGCAACTGGGACCCTAGTGCACATAGTTGCCAACATTTAAAATTTTTTTTTAAGGAACACCTTTTTTTCTGTGTATCTAGAAAGTCACTGTAGGCGGAGCATGTGCTTTAATTAGGGAGTGGGGAATTAATTTAATATGGGAATAACAAGAAGCATATCATTAACATATTCCTGTATTTGTTGCAGGCATGTACTGTATATAATGTCTACAATTTAGGCAGTGCTTGACATGACAGTGTGTGTAATGATGGGGAGCAGTATGTGTGATGAGGGCGTGAAGTGTGAGTGATGAGGGGATGCCATGTGTGTAATGATGGGGAGCAGTGTGTGTGATGAGGGTGTGAAGTGTGAGTGATGAGGGGATGCCATGTGTGTGATGAGGGGGACATTATGTGTGATGAAGGTGTGAAATGTGAGTGATGAGGGGATGCCATGTGTGTGATGAAGGGATGCAGTGTGTGTGTGTGATGAGGCTGTGAAGGTGAGGGGGGGGGGGGGAATGCCATGTGTGGATGGGGGGGCGCAGTATGGGTGGTGGGGGGGGAAGTGTGAATGATGGGGGGATGCCATGTGTGTGATGGGGGGGGGGTGCAATGTGTGTGA